GGGTGTCGGGACAAAGTTCCAATGGCTGAGTAACCTGTTGAAGAAATCCAAACTTGGGTGGAAGCTAAGCATTCCAGATCCATGGGAATAAGTTTTAAGTATTTACATCTCAGTCAAAATCTCAAAACATGAATCTTGAAGCTAAAAGTTACTCTGCTCAGACCCAGTTGGGCCAACTTTAATATGAATGTCCCTCACTGGAACATTTGACCTTTTGTGAGTGCAATTTATCTTTCTTGAATGCACCCTGGGAGATGGATTCAGATTATGGATTGAGAAATTTTACTCTGATGTTTTGAAAAGTAGCATCCTGACATGTGCCTTTATTAACTATTCATAGAACATTCATTCATCCATTTATTCAGCAAATACACCTGGAGTGCCCGCAACCATACTAGGTGCTGGGAATAGAACAGCAAGCAGAATGACATCCTTGTACTCAATGGAAAGAGGAGGATTCCAATATCATAAGGGCTGGGGCTGGGGACAGGGTGGTTCTTTTATTTGGGTGGTCAGAGAAGCTTCTGTGATGAGGTCGGTGACATTTGAGCTGAGACCCAGCAAAGATGTCAATGCAGCTTGAAGCAGGCGAGGTCACGGAAGCGTGGGGCAGGGGGCAGATCATGGGGGGCCTTGCAGGCCATTTTAAGGGCTGTGATTCCTGATTAAGGTAAGGGGCCATTTGTGGGGGTTGGAGGAGAGGCGAGGCCTATCAGACTGGCCTTTACCAAGAGCACTGGCTGTTCTGTGTGGACTGAGGGGAGCAGGAGAAGGGGAGGCAAGGAGGCGGTTGGGAGGTCACTGCAGTAATCAGGCAATGGGCTTTGGTGGCTTGGACGCTTGGCAGTGCAGAGGAAAAGATGTATTCTGGAACTAGTTTAGAGGTACAGCTGAGGGGATTTGCTGATGGATTGGATACAGGGTGTGAGAGAAAAACTGCAATTAAGGATTCCAAATCAGAAGCTGAAGCTGGCTGGAGGAGCACATACGGGAGGAGAGTTGGGAGTCTGGTTTTGCTCTTACCAAGTGTGAGGTGCTTCTGAGACCCCCTGTGGCGACGGTGGTGGTGGACCTATATGGAAGATCAGTGGGGAGGTACAGGCTGGAGGCACAAATGTAGGAGCCGTAAGGATATGGGTGTTACTTAAAGCTCAGACTGGAGGAGACCACCTAGGACGTGAATGTAGGTAAAGACCCAGACAGAGGACCAAGCTCTGAGACATTCCCACGGTCGAGAGGTCAGCGGAATGAAGAGGAACCAGCCAAAGCCCTAGGTAGGAGCAGCCCGTGAGGCGGGCGCAGAATCAAGAGAACAGTCTTATCGGTCAAGTGAAAAAGCGTTTAATTAAGAAGGGACTTGAAAGCTGCCAAATGGTGCAGAGAAGGAAAGGTGAGCACCCACAATGTGCAGGCACTGGGCATACAAGCGTGAGCCGGAGCACCAGGCACTCAGTATGCGTTCATGCTTTTTATTTGGAATGACGATAATCTTTGCTTCAAACAACGCACAGTTGGAGAAAGAGCCCACATGTGCAAAGGCACCTAACCCAGCCAGGAAAACTTGTCTGGGGAGGCGGGGCTTCTTCAGCCGAGTCCTCAGTGGCTGAGAAGTACTCAAGTGGGTTTCTGTGTGCAGGCCTTCTCTCTGTTCTGGATTTTTTGGGTCCCTCCCCTCTAGGCTCCCTAGGAAGCGATCCACACCTGAGAAATGAGAAACAAACGGAGCAAATGACTACCCTTTCTGATCAAAGAACAGAACGACAGACGAAGAAAAGACCTGGGAAAAAGCAAGAATGGGATAGCTCTTTAAAAAGTGGTTTCGAATTCATTCCAAGTTTAGTAAATTCCCCTCTCTTCGGGGAACTGGGTTTTCCTAAGGAAAAGTTGCTGTAACGCGCAGATGGCCTCCAGAGGCCTCCCTTTCCCTGGAATGCATTGATTTAACAGAGGCAAAAGCCTCTCTCGAAAAGTTCAGCACTGGTCACCTAAGGCCAGTACCAAATTTGGCAAAAAATTTAAACTTTTAAGAAATCAAAATGTCCCTTCACCAATAACATAGTTTATCAGCTTAAAAAGTGAAAAACCACAGGGCAATGTTGAGTCAACATGTATTGTGAAGAGTAAGGAGTATTTCGGTGTCAAGATATTTAGTATTTAGGGGGTGATTCTGACTTACCTCTTTGGTGACTATCTTATTAAGCATTCTAGTTTGAAGAGCAACTTATCATGTGAGCATAATATTAATAATAGCTAATATTTATTAGGTGTTTAGTGTGTCCTAAGCCTTTTTACGGTATGAAGTTACCCAACCATATAAAGAAGATACTGTTATCCTGAATACTAATAATCCTTTGAGGTAGGTACTTTTACAGTTGAAGAATTTGTGGCTTAGGGAAATTAACAGTTGGTCCAGGGTCACCCCTTGGTGACCACCCCTGTGGTCTAACTCCACAGCTACCCTACCCTACCCAGCCTGTGCTACACCTTCATGAATCCATGGACCATAGGCTGGGTAGCGTAGGTAGCCGTGGAGCTGTGTCTCTCTCTGTCAAATAAATAAATAAAATCTTAAAAAAAAAAAAAAAGTTTCTTAATTTGAAAACATACAGTGGTTCTTAACCAGGAATGAGTCAGATTCGTCTGAGGAGCTTTTAAAAAGAATACAACTAGGGTATGTGCTCTGGTAAGCGCTGTGAATTGTGCAAGACGGTTGAATCTCAGATCTGTACCTCTGAAACAAATAATGCAATATATGTTAAGAAAAAAAAAAAAGAAGAAGAAGGTAGCGGGAGGGGAAGAATGAAGCGGGGGAAAATAGGAGGGATAGACGAACCATGAGAGACGATGGACTCTGAAAAACAAACTGAGGGTTCTAGAGGGGAGAGGGGGTGGGAGGATGGGTTAGCCTGGTGGTTATTGAGGAGGGCACATTCTGCATGGAGCACTGGGTGTTACGCACAAACAATGAATCATGGAACACTTCATCTAAAACTAATGATGTAATGTATGGGGATTAACATAAGAATAAAAAAAAAAAAGAATACAACTGCCCATGCCTTTTCCGGGTACAATCTATTCATTGGTTTGGGGTGGGGGGAGCTCTGGAATCCTGAATCTTTTTATGTGTTGAAGTTCAACAGGTGTTGAACTTAAGTCTTATGTGTACCCACCCTTGGTAGGGAACCACCACAGGGAGCTGCACGGATGCACAGTGGCTAAATTTATCAGGTGGAAAAGCTCAGAAGGACACAACCGCCATCCCGCCTTAGGACAGGATTATGGTGATTCGTCCAGCATTTAACTACAAAGCCTATTGAACTTGGGCAATTCAAACTCCTCTAACTTCCACGTGGAGATGTTGCTTTCCTCTCCTCTTGGGAGCAGAGCTGGAAAGAAACATGTGATTCTCCAGAGACCTCGGTGAGAAGTGGCAAAAGCAGAGCTCTCTGGGGTAGGCAGCGAGGCAATCTTAGAAGTGAATTTGTATAAGCAGTTCAGTCCGTCCACCTGGCCGGATGGTGAGTCCAAACCTAGACGATGCAGTGTTTATCCGGGGCTACTTGCTGCCTGTCCCCTCGGCGAACAGCCAGCGATAGTGAGCTCAGAGGCTGCGTGCTTCTGCCTGGGGGTGAAACGTGGACCCAGAAGGGGCTCTTTAACAGCGAAGGAACCAGGAAGGACTGGGAGTCTGCTGGATGAAGGGAGAGAACATTTTCTGTCCATTTCTGAAACAAGAACAAATCTTCTGCGGTGACTTCAAGGAGCCTGAGTCATCGTGGGATTTGGAGTATGTCAGATGAAGTTTGAAGTCAGATAATAGTCCAATAGTTCTCAAGTGCCTTCTGCGCTTGCTTTTTTAGTGATTTCAATCCTTCCCCTCCTCCGTATCTCTCCATCTCCGCTCCCCACCCCCCACAGCAGCTTCCTGTTCTTGGTGGCTCCTACCTTTCCCAGAATTACTCTATGCTCCTGTTAACCCTGGGCTCAGTTGAGATTTCCAGTCATTAGTCCTGGCCACAGCTTCATGTCATAGAGATTTATTTTTCCCTTTCCCTGAAGTTTGGTGGGAACCTGAGTGCTGGGAATCCACCCAGGCCCTTCACTCCTGACCCTGCCCCAAAAGCTTTCTGAAGTCTGGCCTCACAGGCTCTGAAGACACCAGAGAAAAAGAAAACTTGAAAAGGGGATATTTTTTTTAAAAATCACGGTCCTCGAGTATTGCGGAGACAACCTCATTCCAAATAACCAGCAACCCTGTGTCTCAGAGATAAAGGACAGGCTCCTCGCCCCTCAGAGGAGAGAGCCAGGGAGCGTTCAGTGCCTTCTGCAGGCTCTTCCCAGGGTTTTCCCGGGGGTGTGGAGAGGGATTGGGGGTTGTGCATGAGCGCTGGACTCGGTTTTCTCTATCTTCCAGACTCCGTTTTCAGAACCTCACTTCTCTTCCTGAGTTCCCTCCTCTGCTTTCAAAAGCGTATGTGAAACCATGCCCATTCCTTTCTCTTTAGGTCACCAGATTCCTTTACGGGACTGGCAGCGGGTATAGCCCCAGGTCCTGTTAGGGCATGTGAGTGGTGGTGGGGCTGAGATTTGCCAACCTCTACGCTCTGGGGGATTTTAAGTGTTCCAGGACTAGCTGTTCTGCTAGTCTTCCTTTTCCCTCCCCTCCCTGACCCTTCTGCCCTTTCCCCTCCTGCAGACTCAGGGGACCCCGAAGGTGGAAGGGAGCTCCTACCCAGGGGGAAGAAAACCCATCCAATTGCCCTAGCTGCCTACACTTAGTTCTCAGCTGCCCTTCCTCGTCCCTCCAGCTACTCCCTGGGTCTGAAGCACTAGCCCAGTTTGAAACACCCCTCCCGCTTGGAAGGAGGCTGGGCTAGCCAGGGGGTTATTTTGGGAGCAGCTTCCGAGATCCAATGGCCTTGTTAGGGCAACAATGACCTTTCCATCCCAGGAGGAGGGCAGGATCCAGAGGGGCGGGGCAGCGGCAGGGAGATCGACAGCCCCGCACACCCACTGGGTGGAGAAGGGGGCCAGCCGGCTGCAGGAATTCAGCCTCAGGCTGGGGGCTGTCACCAAGGAAGAATTTACCCTCTTCGAAACAGACTGGGGACCCCTCCACCCCACCCCTTTCACTGTGCTTCTTAAAGGGATCACACCGTTTTTCCTTTGACTCCAGGGAAGCCAGACTTGGGACACTCTATGGAGACTTTGAATCTTTCCCTCCTGCTTCCTTCCCAACTGGCAGCCTTCCTCTGGCTGGTTGAGTGGGGGCCTCCCAGGCATGGCACTGACCAGCCGACCCAGTGCTGACTTGGCTCCTGGGCTCATTCAGCCTCTGGTGGCATCTTGCTTTCTCCCTCCTGGGGCACAGTGGTGAGTCAGGGGCGCCCAGCCCTGAGTGTGCTTGGAGCGTGTCGCTGGCACCCCCCATCGCCCTCTCTCCCCCACGCTGGAGGACGGTGAGGCTGTCAGGGGCTACGATGAGATGAGTGGGGGCCGCTTTGACTTTGATGATGGCGGGGCATACTGTGGGGGCTGGGAGGGGGGAAAGGCCCACGGACATGGACTGTGCACGGGCCCCAAGGGCCAGGGCGAATACTCGGGCTCCTGGAACTTTGGCTTCGAAGTGGCGGGCGTCTACACCTGGCCCAGTGGGAACACCTTCGAGGGATACTGGAGCCAGGGCAAACGGCATGGGCTGGGCATAGAGACCAAGGGGCGCTGGCTCTACAAGGGCGAGTGGACACACGGCTTCAAGGGACGCTACGGAACTCGGCAGAGTGGCAGCAGCGGGGCCAAGTATGAAGGCACTTGGAACAATGGCCTGCAGGACGGCTATGGCACCGAGACCTATGCAGATGGAGGTGAGCCCAGCCTGGGGCCCGCAGAGCTAGTAGGAGCCAGACCAGTGGGGAAGACTGGTGGAGGGTGGGAAGAGGGAGGGGCAAGGTGACACAGAATCAGAAAAGCCAGGATGCTCTTTGCTGTGTGGCGTTGGGCAAGCTGCCTACCTCTCTCAGCATCCATTTCCTCGTTAGTAAAGGTGGGGCTAATAACAGGGCCATTGAGCAGTGTTCAGGACAAGACCTGCTGTAACACACTCAACACACATTCAGTAAAACCTAACTACTACTGTTTGCATGCTAGGATGACAAACAGCCATGGAATATACCCTGGCTTGTGCTCTAGAAGAATTTGGTTCTAATCTCAACTTTGCCATGAAAATTATTTTCAAGCAATAGATCATGAAGTATTTATTCATTCACCCATCTATCCATCCACCCACTCATCCATCCACCCACCCACCCATCCATCCATCCATCCACCCATCTATCC